GTGCTGGTCATCTCTACTAGTTATCTACAGTGAGACCTTCTATATGCTGTTCATCTCTACTAGTTATCTACAGGGGGGGCCTTGTGTACCCTAGTCACCTCTCCTAGTTATCTAAAGTGCAACCTTCTGTGCGCCCCTTAAGGGATGATCAGAACAAGTCTCAAATTCCGGTCAGAGCACACATTAACTACTATGGGCCCGGAACACATAGTCCTGAGGGAGGTCATTGTGTAGGCATTGGTAAGATGGAGGGCCAAAGATGGAGACCGTGTTGTCAGCCCTCCCACAACATAATGCAGAGTCACTGGCCCACTGTGCTATAATGTATAACAATAGAAATAGTTTTTGTTGCTTTCAGCCATGGAGTTTTGAGACTGTTGGCTACCTGATTAATTTAGAAGTTGGCTCTTACAGATGTATGTTTCTGTAATAAAAACCTAAAACGTGATGCTCTGGCTTAGTTCTCAGCTAACAGGTGATGAAGAAATTTACATCAGAGGATGATATGATGGTGATCCTTTCATGTAGTGGGAAACATTTGCTAACACACTTGCCTGAGGGATCTTGAAAGGAGATAATGTCTCAATTGTATATTTAAAGGGAGAGATTGTTTCCTGCAGTCCATTGTCTCTCATGGTTCATCTCTCCCTTTGATTCCCCCCCTTCAGTTTACCCTTCCTTCCCTTAATGTCCTCTGTGCTATTCCTTATGTTCCACATAGAGAGTTAAACCATATGATAAATGTCTTTCTCTGCCTGACTTATTTCACTTAGCATAATCCTCTCCAGTTCCATCCATATGGATGCAAACGGTAGGGGGTGGGGGAATGGGTTAGCCCAGTGATGGGTATTAAGGAGGGCATGTGTTGTAATGAGCACTGGGTGTTATATGCAAATAATGAATCATGGAACACTACATCAAAAACTAATGATGTACTGTATGGGGACTAACATAATAAAAAAAAGGAGAGATTGAATAAACAAGAACATATATGGTATGAGTTGATTACTATAAATTGCGATTGAAAAGAAAGCATGAGGGGCGCCTGGGTGGCTCAGTTGGTTAAGTGACTGCCTTCAGCTCTGGTCATGATTCTGGAGTCCTGGGATCGAGTCCCACATCAGGCTCCCTGCTCAGCGGGGGGTCTGCTTCTCCCTCTGATCCTCTTCCCTCTCATGCTTTCAGTCTCTCATTCTCTCTCTCTCAAATAAATAAATAAAAAATCTTAAAAAAAAAAGAAAAGAAAAAGAAAAGAAAGCATGAGGAATGAGCTCAGAGGAGAGATGGTTAATTTGTAGGAAGGACTGAAAGAAAACAGAGCATGTTAAAAATGCCCAGGATTACAGGCTACTTAGGCCAATTACATTTTAAACCATAAATTTGTTTAAAAGCAAAACTAAGGAGAGCTTTGAGTGACAAAGGCTGATAAAATAATCAGCTTTTCAGGCCAAGAGGTAACTTCATTCCTCCTAAGTCCTCCCTCTTACAAATAGAAGACCCTGGACATAATGCAATAAATCACTGTGGGGAGATGTCATGTTTGGCCAGCAAACCCTGAAGTGGCAAATGAAAAGATTAGTCCAGACACCTTAGTAGGAGAAAGGAGAAGGCTGAGGGACCAGATGATCTAGTGGAGAAAAGTCCTGAACCAAGGTCTACTTCCATTTTTATTATGCATGTTATCAAAGATTCAAGATCAGAAAGGAATGTAAAGTTTTAGTAACTAGGGAAGTGACATTTATGGGCGTTGTGTGATTAGAACTATCTGTGTTTGTGACCTGCAGGTAGGGAGTAGGTAACTATTAAGGATTCATGTCTAACCTAAGTTAAGCATCTGTCGCCTGGGAGATAACGTTGAGCCACAATTAGGATCTGGCTGTTTTCAGCCCAGAAACCTAAAAGGAGGCCCAGTTTTCTGGTCACTCCTTCTTTGCTTTTCAACTAGCTTCTCTCAGGAGGATTGTGTTTATCATATCTTAGCTAGCCAGGCATTGTGAGTTCCCACAGGGAGACTCTGAAGAGTGGAATGGAGAAGGTGGACTCTCTAGGCGTGTTGGGACTTAAGAAATTAAACAGTAATGAGATTCTGAGGTGTCCTTATTGCCTCCCACATACTATTGCTTCCCACTTACTGCCTATCCTGCTAGCCAAAGTACGGGGAACATGGTGGACTAAAAGAACAGAAGTCGGACTGCCTGGACAGCTCAGTCAGTTGAGTATTGACTTGATTTCAGCTCAGGTTGTGATCTCAGTGTCGTGATATGGAGCCCTGCATCAGGATCTTCACTGGGCATGGAGCCTGCTTAAGATTCTCTCTCTCCCTCTCTCTCTGCCCTTCCCCTTGCTCGCTCTCTCTCTGTCTCTAAAAATGAATAAATAAATCTTTAAAGGAACAGAAATCCTTTTGTCAATATCTAACTAACTAAAACCAAATAACAATGAGAAAAAGCACACCTTCTTCAGGTTTTGTGGGGACAAATGGAGAGCTGACTTTTCACCCCAGCTTCCGACCCTGTCAAAAAGATTGTTCTCTCATAGTGGCATCTGAAAGACCCAGAGAATGATGAATATCAGCTAAAAGATGAAAAGATAAATAAACAAACCCACAACTATAGTTAGAAGCTTTAGCACCCTACTCTAAGCAATTGAAGAAACTACTAGACAGAAAATCAGCAAGGATATAGAACATTTGACAATACCATCAAGCAACAATGTCTAAACACACATATAGAACATTCGACCCAAACACAGGAGGTACACATTTTTGTTTTTGTTTTTGTTTTTCAAAACCTCATGGAACATTAATAAGAGAGACTGTGTCTTAGTCCATAAACAGAATTCAAAAGACTTAAAATCACATAAAATATGTTCTGTGGCCATAATAGAATTGATTTAGATATTAATAACAGGAAAAATAAACAGCAGCATCCAAACACTTGAAATTAATCAACAAACCTCAGAATAAAAGCTGATTCAAAGAGGAAATTTCAAAGGAATTAAGAAAACACATAGAACTTAATGAGTATAATAATGCATAGTATAAAAATACATGAGATGCAGCCAAAGCTGTGCTGAGAGGGATTTGAATAGCACTTAATGCTTATATTCGAAACCTGAAAGGTCTTAACTAAAAAATGAGAGTTATACCTTATTTAAATAGAAAAAAGCAAAATAATGTAAAGAAAAAATACTAAATGTTAGCAGAATAAAATGAAATTAAAAACAAGCAAATGATTGAGAAAATTAATATAACGGTAGTTGATTTTTCAATAAACTTGACAAAAATCTAGAATGATTGACAAATATAAAAATAGTGAGGACACAAATCATTATCAGAAATGATACAGGAGGACATCACCAAAGATCCTGCTGCCATCAAAAAATAATTGGGGAATAATATAAACACATTTATGCTCATATATTTAAATGCTTCACAGAAATGAACCAATTCCTTGACACTAGGAACTAAAAACTAGAAACTACCAAACCCATCTAAGATGTAATAGACAATCTTGTCAAAATGTTAAAGAAAAAACATCATATGATCATATTGATCAAGGCAGAAGCTTTTGACAAAATCCAAACCCAATCATGATTTAAAAACAAGAAAAAACAAAACAAACAAACAAAAAACAAGAGGAAAAGCAAAAACAAAAAACTTTCAACTAGGATAACAGAAAGGGAAAGCTGAGGAAAAAAAAAAGGATGTCTGTTCTCACCACTCTCTTTCAACATTGTTCTGGATATTCTTGCCAGCACAATCAGGTTTTAAAAAGAATAGCTGCATAGATTGGAAAGGAAGAAATGAAACTGCTCCCATTTGTAGATTATATGATTTTATCTACATAAAAATTTTGAGGAGACCTATCAAAAATTTTTTAGAATAAGATAATTTAGTAAGTTCATAGGTTATAAATGGAACACACGCAAAGCAAATCAGTTTTATATATAAATAGCAAACATATGGAAACTGAAATAAAAGGACAATATTTATAACTGCTCAAAAAAAATAAAATATATAGGTATATGGGGCTTACGGGTGGCTCAGTTGGTTAAGCATCTACTTTCATCTCTGGTCATGATCCTGAGGTCTTGGGATTGAGCCCTGCATTGGGCTCTCTGCTCAGCAGGGAGCCTGCTTCTCCCTCTTGCTCTGCCTTCTGCTCCCCCTGTTTGTGTGTTCTCTCTCTCTTTGTCAATAAATAAAATATTTAATATATATGTACAAAATTATTATGTCACTTACATGATGTGTATACTAAGAATTATAAAATATCCAATGGAACACATCAGAGGAGACACAAATGGAAAGACATACCATTTTCATGGAAGATACAACATGGTAAAGATACCAATTCCCTCCAAATTGCCTTATAGGTTTAATGGAACCACCATAAAAATCCCATTTTTATAAACATATAAAGTATGTTTTTATAGACATACTTATTCTAAAATTCATATGGAAAGATAAACACTGTAAAATAAACCAACTTGATGAATAAGAATAAAGTGAAAGTAATCACTCTATTGTATTTAAAGGTTAAAATAAGCTATAGTATTCATGATAATGTGTTATCAGTGTAGAAATAAACAGATATGATGGTGGAACAAAATAAAGAACACAACAGACCCACACAAATGTACCAAATTGATTTTTTTACAAAGGTGGGAAAACTATTCTCTGGACAAAGGATGGGCCTTTCAACAAATGCTGAAGTTATTGGATAGTCACAGGCAAAACAAGGAACCTTAATGAAAATCTAACACCAAATTAGACAAATTTAACATCCATACAAATTAATTAAAAATATATTGAACTCGGGGCGCCTGGGTGGCTCAGTTGGTTAAGCGACTGCTTTCGGCTCAGGTCATGATCCTGGAGTCCCTGGATCGA